ATTTATTTATTTATTTTGCTACTTATCAGGGTGCTAATAGCGGTTCAGTCTTTGGTAGCCAAACGCCTTTTGGTTCACAGTCGGTATTCGGTGGTGGAACCGCATCTTCAGCCAATGTTTTTGGTGGGTCTGCAGCTAATGCAGGTACTACGAGTTTTGGAGCAATAGCTGCTCAGGGCGCCAATGTTTTCGGTGGGGCGAGCACTACCAATCCCGGAACCAATGTATTTGCCGAGGCTTCTGCTACTCCTAATGCGTCACTCTTTAGTCAACAGCCCGTAACCGCTACAGTGTCACCCTTCAGTCAGCAAGCTCAGCCTATTGCAGCATCACCTTTTGCTCAGCAGCCAACGTCCACAGCTGCTACTCCCTTTGGTACTGCTGGTAAGATTTGCTTATTGTCGATTTAAGAATGATTGAGATTTAATAAATGTATTCTGTTTCACAGCAACATCGGTGTTCGCTGCGCCAGCATCAACGAATTCAAATGTTTTTGGTCCTCCTTCTTCTTTTGGCTTTGTGTCACCTGCAACACATACTACCAATGTATTTGGAGCGGCAGCAGCACCTACGACTACTCAGTCACTTTTTAGTTCGAGTCCTTTCGGCACCGCTCAGCCAAACAGCTCAGTGTTTGGAGCCTCGCCAACAATAACAAACGCAAGCAATTCCAGTAGTAATATTTTCATGGCAAAGCCACAACAAAACACTTCCTCACCCTTTGGAACGACCTCATCAACGCAGACAGGTCCATTTGGTAATTTCACTGCCAAGCCAAGCCTGGGACTTGCTGTGTCGATAACAATTGACGACACAGCTTACAGCCAAGAAGAGAATCTTACGGACGAAGAAAAGGCTGCGTTTCAGTTGGCTCAGTTCGTTAAGGGACAAATTCCGCTTAAACCTCCGACCAAAGCTTTGTGCTAAGCACCATCAACATAGATAACAAGCATTTTAGAAGTACTTCTGATCATCAACTAATAACAGATTTCTTTTTCAAAGATTACAATGGACACTTAGTACTAATAGAAAGTGTAAATACGTGAAGACAGATGTACAAAGGTAAATTAAAATACGGATTAATCGTTGTTATGTTACGTACTTAGACAAAATTAAGTTGGATAGCTTTAAGTTTTATCTCGATCATTTTTAATAAAATAATGGCGCAACTTGATAAATTTTAAGTTTGTAAAATATTTTAAAAGTCCAACTTGTGCGATCTACGTTAATTTGTAGT